GCCTTAGATGAATGGCATCAAGGAAATCAGAGAAAGGACCTTTTACCACTATTTCATCGTCTGGTAGCAGACGGTGCTAGTATTTTCATAACTAGCCGCTATTATCCAGAGGATATTTAAGAATCCTTCAAGTTTTCAGAAAGGGTAGAACTTGCGGCAAAGGAGATGGATATCAGGACGTATATTCAAGAAAAGTTCGATGAGAACCCAGGGTCAAAGCGTCGTATTGGAGACGATAATGATTTTAAAGAGGAAATATTATCCGAGCTTTCTAGCTGCGCTAAAGGAATGTAAGTATAGAGATCATGGCCTTTTATTTGATGTAAGAAGCAACGAAGCTAGGGAGTGTGTGAAAGGGTTCGTTCATAGGTTTCTGGATGGCTCTTCTTTGGCTTCAAGCACCTTATTATCTAACCTGGCACTTGAGTACAGGTTCTTGCTCGTGAAATTCCATGTCGAATATATATGCCAGCAAGCTACACGCAAACAAATCAAAGATGCCCTCGTAAAACTGAAAAGCTCGTCCACCGAAAAGCGGCCGCTAGATCCCACCTATGACAGAGTTATGAGGAGCATCGATGCAAAGCCTAAATCGTGTAAAGAACTGGCTATCAAGATACTCTCATGGCTTGTACACGCTCAGCGCACCTTAACTGTCAAAGAAGCTCAAACAGCAGTATCTGTTGAGCTATATAGATACGAGATCGATGAGCAAGATCTGCTAGATAGAGCTACACTGCTTGAGACATGTCCAGGTTTAGTGGCGATTGATGATCACGGGACCGGCGATACCATCAGACTTGCCCATTACACGATTCAGGAATATCTCCCGGAAAAATCCATTATTCCTAGTGATGCGGCCTTTGCAATTGCAATGACTTGCGTAACTTTCCTCTCCTTCGATGAATTTTCCCTAGGGGCCTGTAAATCGAAGCATTCTCTTCAGGATAGGCTTCAGAAGTACCCTTTCTTCGGGTATGCTGCCCGTAATTTACATTTTCATCTCCGCAAATGTGGGGGACTCGGGGATGGACATAATTCTCCGGTTTCTCGCAAATCCCGGATCCATCAGCTCCTACCTACAGGCCGTCTATCCCAGGAAATATGAGAATTGGCGAGGTCAACTCTATAATTTCAACATATACCCGAAAGACTGCCTTCCTTTGCACGTAGCATCACTCTTGGGAGCTTGCGAAGTGATCCGGGTGCTGGTGGAGGGAGCCAATTTCTCGGACCCAAAGCATACTGGATGGGAGAAAGTGTGTAAGGCAGCCAAAGGGCATAGTTCGGTCGTTAAATTACTATTGGAGAAGAAAGCAAGTGTCTCTATTAAAGCCGAGGGAAGTGAATTAACAGCGTTGCACATGGCAGCTCGAAATGGGAATGAAGCAGCTGTAAAGCTACTACTAGAGCTGGGGGCAGACATCTCGGGAAGGGATGGATATGAACGGACGGCATTGCATCTTGCTGTGGAGATGGGCCACAGAGATACAGTTTAGCTGCTACTTGATCAAGGAGGGAATATCTCGGAAATGGATTGGGGGGGGGGGGGGGCGTGCAGCACTTCAGTTGGCGGCGCGGCAGGGCTGGAGAGATGTGACCCAGCTACTGATTGAACAGGGGGGCACGGCATGGCGCAAGAGACGTGGTCCAGCTACTACTCAAGCACGGAGCGGACGTGTCGGAAAAGGACAAGGATGGAGATCCGGCATTGTATATTGCGACGGCATATGGCTTAAGAGACGCGGCCCGGATGCTACGCAATTTAATATGAGGACGAGGGTGAGGACGAGGATGAGGATGATGACGAGGAAGAAGTTGAGGATAGTGCTTTGGACTCAGGTCTAGTACACTTAGATTGGTGATTATCATTGACTATCTCTTATCTAAAGCATAAGAATTCCCTAGCTATATTTATCTACCTTTTCTTTATGTTTATGTTTACCAATATTACATGGTATGTACATGTAACTAGTCATTCTTTTTGCTTCAGTTTGCTTGCAACTAGTCAGGCCGGCTAGAATGCATGATTTGGAGCATTTAGGGCCACCCTTTCCCCCTTTCTTTTCTTTTCCTCTCTTCTCTTCTCTTTTCTTTTTTCTTTTTTCATCTTCACCTTTATTTTTACCCATGACCTTAGTCATTTTCTTTAGATTACTTCATACATACATGTAGCTCTTTCTTTCTTTGATCTTCTCCTTATCTTATAAGTATATAGATATACCGATATGCAATGTGTTATTTAAAGGTTTTGATTGGCTAGGTTTGAGAAGTTGGTGATTAAGATTGCTTTTTTTGAGTTGCTAACACATTGATTTTTTTTTGATTGATATATTGATTTTTGCTTTTCTTGAGATGATATCATGATATTGATTTTTGATTTTCTCACTGGCAGTAGAATATAATAGTATTGATTTTTGCTTTTTTTGTGACAATATAATCATGATTGAATTGATTTTCCTTTTTTAGAGCAATATAGTTATAATTATATTAATTTTTGTTTTTCTTTACTAGTATACGATATCAGGGTATTGATTTTTGCTCTACTTGATACAATATCACATTATCAATATTTGCTTTCAAGTTTCTCAGTACGATATAATCATTATAACATTGATTTTTGTTTCTCTCTATAATTAGTAGATTTTGGTATTATCTTCCGCTCGGAGATCCTCCTCAGATTCCGTCCTTGAACCTGTTCCAACTCTGCCGTATTCAAAGTTGTTCCTGAATCCAGGCCCGAGCCGTTAAAATTAGCAAGAGATTTTGCTGATGAAGTATTAATAGACCAATGTGAATGCAGGTATACTTGAAATCAAAAATTAAAAGATTATTTTTGTTAATTTTTCATTAGATCCTTCTACATTAATATAAAGTTTTGAGTATACCCTTCCTGGGGCTTCATTCTCATACAGAATTGCACTAAAATATAATATATGATGGATTATCCTCTCCGGCCGAAGGCCGGCAGCGACTTGTACATACTAAATTTATGGCCTTTATGGATATACTAAGGCGTTTTGTAATAAAAAGCCGTGAAAAAGGGGATTTTGTGTTATTTTTCATGATCACTACCTTTGACTGAATGTCTACTTAATTAGAATACATTATCGATAAATCCATGGTTTTCGTCGACGCATGACTATGAATGGCAATTGGGCTCGAAACACCAAACTCTCTAAAGCCAACACGTACAACAGCCCAGATCAAGTCACGTCACCAAATTCAGGAGTCCCCTAGCCCCCCCCCCCCCAAACTTCCTCATCCTCCTAAAATCCTCTCCCAGAGCAGAATGCCATGATCAGCCCCAAAGGATAACTCGAACCAGGCTATCCTGGCATTTTTTTTGCGTTTGTGTTCGGCGAGTGACATCTCATGATCGACGGCATCTATGTCTCATAATCATAGATCTAAATCTAAAGTAAACTCAGGAGTGAGAAAGACGTGGCAAGTAAAGGAAGGCCCTATGCTACCCACTCCGGCTTTCTATCATACATGTATATATTAAAATGCATCGATATCAAGAGGCTAGGTAGCACCCCTAGCTGGACGCGCGCATGCAGTCGTGGGATGGGTGACGTGTTAATAGCTGGGTCACAAGATACTGGCTAGTCCTGGTTAGATGTGTATATGACCAGCGGGCCACTACTACGGGAGGGAGGTTTCCGCGTTCTAGATAGGTGGGTGGTGTGTAGTCTAGCCTACACTTAGTGGTACTAGCTGGTGACGGCGGGAGGAAGGCACATTAGCTCATACCCCCTCATGTTTCGCTCTCCGAAGGCGTCAGCTAAAGACCACATTAACTACATGTATATGTACTTGTATTCAACTCCCCTGATACACTGCCAGCACCCATTTCAATACGAAAAAAACAACAACAAAAACAACCGAGTGATTCCCCATGACCACCAGTCCGCGTCTCATTATATCATACACTGGATCGTACCGCAACGTGGGTTTAGGAACTTAGCTATACACCCCATCTGGGTCTACACAGAAAGAACATCTTCCTGTAGATACATGCGGTATATCTAAGTTACGACTGAGGGTTTCAGATTCATGGACTATCACTCGCAGTGACCACTCCCAGCTTGGCGTTAAAATAGTATGTATTGAGGCTTGCTTGTCCTACTTTAGTCTAAGACATAATGCGTGGGTACTGGTGCGTGCCGTAGCTTCATTGCGCTTTTAGCGATCTCTCTAAGGCAGCCATTGCCGCAAAGGAGCCAAGTGATAGCGAAGCGAGGGTCATGGGGTATCACTCGATCAAGATCTAGATATTCAACTTTTTTTGGAGTAGAGGTTTATTTGTACTACTGATGGAGAAAGGCAAAATTGGGCTTGTGACGACTGTGGGCGCTGTGTATTAAGGCAATATATACAGGTATAGATTATACTTAGTAGGCCGAGGGATGAGAGGGTGGTAGATATCATGTATGCGGGCTTTTATTTTTACGATGAATCCTAGGGGCCGGGGGGCGAGAGGGAACAGTACAATTCACAGTAGAAACCATCTGTACCTGCATCCGCCACCTGGCTGGCATCCGACATTGTATCTGCACCAACGATACTCTGCGCAAGAATCCACAGAGTCTAGATCGGTCTAGCCTCACCCACACACCTGCCCAACGGCGCACACACACGCGCGCATCATTCCAATCCAACGACACCACCCAGCCCCCCTTACCTCACCCGGAACCATCCGGGCGCTCAACAACCCCCTTACATCACAGCTCATTTCGCCACCTCTCCCCCTCCCTCCCGGGGCCGGGGACTACTACAAATACCCACCCACCACTCCCCCCCCCTCCCCACCCACCGATTCCGGCCACCGATCCTTTCCCCCTTCAGGAGGTGTGAGAGCGCGCCGATCACCACCACCACCACCACCACAGCCACAGCCACAGCGAGTGACACCCCATGACGGATGACGTCGCAAAGCAAAAAAAAAAAAGCCAACTGGAATTTCATGCATACCTACATACAACATTCCATGCCTACTACTCCGTGACCACCTCAACCCCTTCCTTCTCCGCCTCAGCCAGGATCCACGTCCTGACCTTTCGATCGGGCGCCAGCGCGATGGCGAGCACGCCGTCGCTGTCGCGCCGCGAGCTGTCGGCACCCCTGCGTAGGAGCTCGATGGCGACGTCGCCGTGGCCCTCGGCGATGGCGTGGTGGAGCGGCGTGAGGCCGCTGCGGTCGCTGCTGTTGACGGGGGAGTTGTGGTCGAGGAGAAGCTTGACCATGGGGAGGGAGCCGACGGCGGCGGCGCGGTGGAGGGGTAGTTGTGAGTGCGTGTCGGGGATGCGTGGGGAGGCTTTGTAGGGTGGGGAGAGGAGGAGGCGGGCGGCGGAGAGGCGGGTCTTGGAGGCGCAGAAGTGGAGGGGGGTCTGGTGGTGTTAGTGGGGTTTGGGGGAGGGGGTGAGGTGGGGTGGGGGTACTTGGCCGTTGTTGTCTGGTGCGCTGTGGTTAGCATGGTATATAGACAGGATGCGAGGGGCAGTTGTGAGGGGAGGAGCTCACTCTTTAGCCCCGCGTCTGCCCCCCGCTTCAGCAGGTACTCGACAAGGTCGTCGCCATCCTTGACGCTGCAGGCAATCATGAGACACGACCAGCCGCTGCCGTCAACAGCGTCAATGTCAAAGTCTTTGACCTGCGTCAGCACCTGCACGATTGGGAGGTGGTTATACGAGCACGCCCAGTGAATCGGTAGACGGTCGTCCGAGTCGCGGCGGTGCGCCAGCTTCGGGTTTGCAGACAGGAGTGACTCGACCGCGGCCACTGATATCACGATAATAATCGCTCATGTTAGTTTACAGTTCGACCCAGATCGAGGGCGAGAGAGAGAGATAAGAGGGGGGCGGTGTACAGCGTCCTTCACGACAGGCTGCGTGGATGGCTTCTTTGTTTTCTGTTTCGTCCATATTGGCTAAATGTGTTTTTGTGTGTGTGTGTGTGTGATGGTTCTTGTTCTGCCTATGCTTGACAGACCCGCAGTCTGATAGCTCTCTCTTTCTCTCTCGTGCAGTCTGGCGGGGAGTGTAGGGCTCCTCTTGGCACGACGTCAGGGCAGCTGGTGTTACCCGGCTGCGCGTGCGGATGCGTTGTCATATGTGGTATGGCGTGTGTGGTAGAATGCCGTTCTGGGAGCGGCGGTTTATGCAGGGGTAAGAACAGAGAGAAGCTTCCACGTATCTGTCCGGCCGGCGCCGGGGGGTATCCTGGTTTTTTTTCTCTTCGTTCTGGAAGCATGAGGGGGGTTTAAATCTCGCAATTGTTGCGCTTTCTTTCTGGTACTAGATACTGAACAATAGACGATAGATCTCTACTACAGCTACGTACTACTACTATACTTCGAATTTCTATATATATACTGCTTCTGCTTCAATTCTGTTATAAATCTACTATTACAGTTGCGACAGCTACTATCACCACTATTATAGCTATTACTACTAATAACTAGATCATATACTACTCAATATGGCCCCCATCCTCAAGAAATACGCTGCGATCCTCTTCGACCTCGACGGTACTACCCCTCCCCGCCCCCCGCGCTGCCCCGCTTCCCAAAGCTAACACAGCTCGATCCAGGAACACTCATCGACAGCACGAACGCCGTAATCGCCCACTGGACACGGTACCTTCCTTCTCCCCCTCCTCCTTATATCACAATGTCACATATGCATATTGTCAAATACTAACAAGCAAATAACCAAACAGCTTCGGAAACGAACACTCCATCGACCCCGCCCTCATCCTTGCAACCTCCCACGGCCGCCGCACAATCGACATTGTCCGCCAATATAAGCCCGAGCTGGCCAATGAGGAGCGTAAGTACATAAGTCCTTTTTTTTCTTTTCTTTCCTTTTTTTTTTTTGGTGTTGCCTTATTCATGTTGGTTCCTTTTTTTTGCGGGGCGGGGAGGACGATTTAAACGGAAACGGCTTTTTTTTTTTTTTTTTTTTTTTTTAGCAACAGCCTCACGTCACGTCACGTTATTGCATATCATTTTGCAAAAACTCCCCCCATCCATTCCATTCCATTTCCTTTTTCTCTCGATCTTGGGCCTCTTTTTTCATATCACTCCCCCAATCCCCCGGAAAACGTAAAGAAACGTAACAAACCAAAAAAAGAAAACAGAAGGAAAAAAAAACTAACGAAAAACCAACAGACATCCGCGCCCTCGAGGCCGAAATCCCGAAAAACAATGCCGCGGACGCAAAGGAGCTGCCTGGTAAGCTAGCTTGAGCTACCCCAAACCAACATCACCCCATCCCATCCCATCCCATTCATCAACCCCCCCGGCCCCCGGCCCCCCCTGTTCTTGTCCTTGCCTGCCTGCCTGACGGGGCGGTGTGCGGTTTTCTCGTTACCCAACATCTTGGGTGTCACATTTCATCTTTTCGCCCGGCCCTCCCCCCGGGGTAAAAAAAAAGTAATGGTGTGGAGGAAGTCAGTGGTTAACGCACATGACCGCGAGCTGGGGGCGATGCTTTGCTTCTTCATCTTCGTTTTCCCTTCTTTTTCCTGGGCTGGCTTGGCTGGCTTAGGGTAGGGTAAGATACCTATGATATGATCAATTGATCAATTAAAAAAAAGAATCTTGCCCCTAGCTACCTGCGCTCGATGTGCGCGTAGGAAAAGAAGCGAAAATGAAGATGAAGAACACCTAGCTCCTCCCTCAGCTAGGGTGGTCGCAATATCAATTAGGTGCTAGAAACCTTATTTCACGCCTCGAGGCAACGGGGTGCAAATGGGCGATTGTGACGAGTGGAACAGTCGCGTTGGCGGAGCCGTGGGTGAAGGTTAGTTTAGCTCTCTCTCTTTTTTATTTGTTGTTGTTGTTTTGTTTCTTCTTTGCTTTGCCTTCTTTTGCTTTGAAATCTGGAGGCGATACGAGATATGAGATTTGCGATGGGGGATGGGATTTGGGGGAATACGGGGTGGTGTTTGGAACTATAATTTCAATCTCATCTCATCTCATCTCGAGGGGAGGTGAGAGGTGGGAATTGGTCAGGTTCGCTTTTGTCCTACCCAGCAGGGTGTTTTAGGCGGTTCCCCGGGTTAGGCTGTTTCTACTGCTAGCTGCTCTACCTCTCTACCTATCATCAATTCGAATTCCCAAACATCCCTCAGGGCTGAAGAATCAGAATCGAGGGATCAGAAATGATGAAAGTCAGCTAGAGCAAGCAGCGTAAGCAGTAGCAAGTATCAGGAAGGAGGAAGGAAGGGGGAAACCGATTGAAACACCCTCATCAACCCTCCCACCCTCCCAACCCAAAATACGAACACCCTCCAACGGCATCTGCCTCCGCCGCCCCAGGTAGCTGGTCAATTGGGAACCAATTGGGACACCTGCCCCTCCGCTCGTTATCTCTTCGCGAACATTCCCCTCCGCGGCCGTGTTCTATTCTCAGCCCCAACAAAAAATAAAATATGAAAAAAGAGCCATACCTCCCCGGCCCCCACAAAAAGAAAAGAAAAGAAAAAAACCAACAGGCCCCGGTGCTTCGGTAATGGCGGCACTCCTCCCCAATACCGATGCTCAATTAATTCTCCGAGCTGGGTTTGTTGGGGGGGCCGGTTGTGGTCAGTCAAGTCAGCTGCCCGGGGTCGGGGGGGCTCGGGGGTCCGGGGGGGGGGGGGTGTTGGTTGGTTTTCTATTCTAGCTATCATACCCTAGCTATCTAGATAGCTAGGGTCTGCCTGGCAACTGGTGTTGGGGATCCCCTTACCGTGTCCTTGGAACCATCAGCGAGCTGGCTGTTGGTTGTTTTATTGTCTTATTTTATTTTTATTTTTTCATTCCATCTTTTTTTTTTTTTGTTTCTTGACAGCTACTAGCAGTAGTAAGTACATGCAATTGGGGGCTAGCTGACTGTTTGTTTGTCTGAAAAAAAAAAAAGATCATGGCCTTCCCAAGGCCAAAAGTGTTTGTGACGGCCGACAGCGTTGGTAAAGGGAAGCCTGATCCGGAAGGTAAATGCGCGCTCAACCCTTCCCCTTCCCTTCCCCTTCCCTTCCTTTGCCCTATGTACCTCGTAGACATCTTTCATCATCGCCATCACTATCATTACTACATGTACTATTATCATTGTTGTTGTTGTTCTATGTGCTCACACGCCAATGCAGGATACCTCCTCGCCCGCACGCTCCTCGACATCCCCGAAGACGCCGCCGTGCTGGTCGTCGAAGACGCGCCCGCCGGGATCCGCGCCGGGCGGGCGGCTGGCTGCGACGTCGTTGGGCTGCTGACATCGCATACCCGCGCCGAGGTTGAGGACGCGAAGCCGGATTTTGTTGTGGGTGATTTGGAGAGTGTGGAGTTTATGAGTAGGGACGAGGATGGGGGTATCCTGGTGCTTGTGGGGGATCCGAAGGAGTTGGCGAATTAGATGGGGTTTGGTTTTAGGTTTGCAGCTAGGGTGAGATTGAGATTGAGATTGGGGGAGCTAGAGGAAGGGGAGGGTTTGATTGGCTTGTTTGTGTGTGATGTTTGGTTTGGGAGCGAGTGGGAGATGATGATGCAGAGTGAGTGAAGTGAAGTGAGTGAGTAAGTGTGAGGAAGGTTACAAGTTGTTAGCTAGTTAGATTGGCTATAGATTGGGCGTGATATTAATTAAGCTCCCCCCCGTTTCATCAGTTTCAGTAGTTTAGTTTCACTTGGTATTATTAGCATTATGCCTTCTTCCGGGCCTAACTGCCCAAACCCAATCCCAAAACCTAAAAACCCAACCCCAATCCAACCCAAATTAGATATACTCACGATCCAATTCCTCTCCCCATGATCTCCGCAACTCACAACAACTCAAACTCTTCTACAATCTAATCTCTACCTGTTCCATATCAAGCCTCCCTCCCAGAAAATAAAATTGCCCTCCCCTCTCGGAATGAAGGGTGTGGACATTGCAACAAAACAAAAACGGGTGTTCCGGAAGCAGACAAACACGATCCGCCATCGTCCCCCTCCTCCCTCCCCCTCCCGTTCGTCTGTCGTCGGCATGTGCATAATTAACGGGCCTCATGGCTTTTTCCGGGGTTGCGTGATTGTGATGGAATCTCTACTACCCTCCCTACATAACTACATGTACATTTGTATCTCTAGCTCTATGTATGAACTCGGGGGCCCTAGAAATGAAAGACGCAAGCAAGGCCGCGGCGGGCCCCAAAGCAGGAATCCGAGGATCTCTCTCTCCTCTTGGGGTCTTGGGGAAGTGAATGCTAGATGGGGGTTATGAGAGACAGTGAAGGGGTAGCTTTAGATAATAGTTTCCTTTCGATGAGGATCTAGATAGGGCTATGTAGGGTTCCATCTGAAATCTTGATCTTGATCTGATACTCTCTCTATCTGTGGAAACTAAAGCCGGTCCAATTAGAATGGGACCTCCTCTCTCCCCCCCCCCCCCCTCCCGTCTATCTACGTCTAGGACAGGCCGCGCGGAGAATATCGCGGGTATGCCGTGCCTCCGTAAATGTCGCCGAGAGTCAGTTCAGGCGGCAGTGGCCCGGTACGGTTTCTATCATATCATATCTATGAGGTGGGATGGGGGACGTCGGGAGGGAATTCCAGCGAATGGTAGTTGTTTTCTTATTTTTATTTTGGAGTGCCTTTGTAGATTATAGATACATAATTCGATGTAGGAGTGCTTTACATGCAGGTCCAGATCGGACGAGCATAGCAGGAAGGAGGGAAGCGCATGGGCTTGCTTGCGTGCTTGCTTTTGGTTCCTGGAATACCCAGGCGTCCCTGTCTACTTCTAACTAGCTGGAGTGGGAATGAATGCAGGTCGTCGATAAGCCACCTCCGCCAGACGGGCAGACATCGGACCACCAGCACCGGCGAGAAGGAGAGGATGAGGAGTGTCTCTTTCCCTCTTGGTTCGGTATTTGTCACGCACGTCAGGAATGATATCCCAGCTAGCGTTGGGCACTCAGTAGTCCGTTAGCCAGCCAGGGGGTATGTAGAGGTAGGTCGAGTAGTAGGGCGCATTTGATTGCTTTGGCGAGATATCATACACGCTAGGAAAGGGTTTGTGTTGCATTGCATAAGAGCGCCCTATGCCTGCCCTTGGCTGTGTCCGTGAGGTTAGCTAGCTAGAGCTGCGGGCTGGCCGATCTCTTTAGTCGTTCATCTGCGCAATTGCTTGCTTGCTTGGTCTTTTGGTGGGGCCCTAACATACCGCTGTAAAGTAAAAAATGCCTTTTTTTACTTTTTTGGGGGTGGTGGTGGAGTCGCGTGGGCAACTTTTTTTTTTCCTTCCCACGCTTGCTTGCTCGCTCGCTTCTTTCGCTTCTTCTCGGCCCGATTTCGAATTCCGCGGATGAGGTCAACAATCGATCGGGACCTTGTGCCTGGCTATCCCATCCCCATTCATCCATCCCCACTTCGCCCGTGAGTACATGTAGGTAGGACAGACAACCCACCCGCCCACGATGTGCATCGCATCGCTGCTGGAGATGGGATGGAAAAAATAAAATAAAAAAAAATCGTAAAGTAGGCAGCAAAGGAAAGCCAGATCAGGCAAAGCAAGAGTGAAGCAAGGCAAGGTAAGGCCGGCCAGCCACATCTGGAGAAATCCGAGATGAGGCCCCCCGATAATTGTGGAGGACAATTGCTTCTTTTGTTGACCGCTCCGCTCGCTCGCTGGTTTATGTAAGCTGCTCTACCACTCTCTATGTATCATGATATGTGCTTGTAGACTGTACCTGCGTCTGGTTTCCTTCCTTGTGTGTGGCGCTGGCTTGACGTATGTATGTGATAGGGGGATGGATGGATGTGTGATGGATGTGATGGACAGACGGCGGACGGACAGCAGGCACGCCAGATGAGACGGCGCTCTTGCATTCGCAAGTACCCGCCTCCACAAGACTTGGGGGATGGTGAAGAAAAAAAGAGGTCTTGCTTCAGTTCAGTTCATTCTTGTCTGTCAGCCCCCCCGCACTGACCTGCGCTTACATTTGTTTTTTACGTTAGGAGGTGGAAAACTGACACAGCTTCTCATCCCATCTCCCCCACGATGTTTCTTGAGTGTTTTGGCGCAGCTCTTGATTTGTTTAAGAAGGAATAGAAGAGGAAGGGAGAGAGAGGGGGGGGGGGGGGAAACAGTGTGGAGTTGGGAAGGGGAGGGATGGCCGTGGTCCCCGAGGGGAGACAAATAGATAGACACCGCCTGTTGCGGCTGTTGGAAACGTTACATAGAGTACATAGATTAGAGAGTATGATTTTGAATACAGTGCTATACCAGATATACTCTCTGCTGTGCTACTTTGTACCTGAGTGACTGTAGATTGTGGTGCCCTGCTACTCTATTCTGAGCCACGTGCATGGTTCTGTGTAATTCGTGAGATTGCTTAGGTTGGATTGATACGGTTAGACGAAGAAGCAGGTACACTTTATTTTAGCACGATATCACATTTTTAGCCTTCCCGAACGCGAATCGCTTCGTTCGTTTATTTTATTACTATGCTCGACCGAGGCAAGCAACCACATCTGTGCCAATCGCCAAGCATCATCATCAAAATCGCATCATGCGCAGCTATTTGCTCAGGCAGCTCAGCTAGAATAAAATAAAAAATGAAATATCGTCCAAACCAGGAACACCACCACCACACCGCCACCACCATCACCACACAGAGTAGAGTACAGCCGGGAATATCACTCCATGATGCTCTTTCCGCCGCGTTGGGTCGGGTGGGTCATTCCCAAAATGAGGTTCTCGGAGAGTCATTGACACTCCAAGCCTGACCGCCGAGCGAGCGAGTTGAAATGGAGATAAAAAAGACGAGATGACAAGTAGCTAAGGGCGTGACCCTTGGATGAGAGAGAGATCCAGAAGGAGTCGATGCTGTGCCTTTTTTGGATGGATGGAGGGGGGGGGGGGGTGTGATTCACCAGATATATTCCCGGGAGCACGGTTCAGCCAATAATCGGTGTGCGCGGGGGGTGAGGCATGGTGATTGTTTTCCCAGGTCAGCTTCCGTTCGCGATCGTCACTTTTCTTTCTACCTTCTCTATTCACCCCTAGCTACATGTAGTTCTTCTTCATCTTTTCATCCATCAGATCATTGTCTATCAGACCTGTTCTGTATGTTGTATGTTTGCCGGGCCCTAAATAGGTATTTTAAAACTGGTCTGTGTCTAACGTTCGCGGCGGTTCCTGCGCTTTTTGGGGCCGATGATATTGTTTGAAGACCTCTTTGCTTTTTTTTTTTTGCTTGGCTTACCCATCTCGTTCTGTCAGAGGGACCGAGAGGAGGTGACGATGTGCGAGGGGAGGGATGGTGGATTTGATGGAAGAACAGACCTCCTTCCAGTCTGTCTAATTCGGCGAGCAGGTGGTGGTGGTGGGGAGGAGGGTGAGACTATGATGCACACGCCCATCCTCGTCCCTATTCTCTTTTCTCTCACTCGGTCACTCACACTTCACTTTCAGTCGCTCACAAAAAAAAGTTTGAGAGAAGGGTGGTGGAGGAGCCGGAGGAGGTGGTGGTAGCAAGGGATGTGAAGGGGGATAATGTGGATGGTGTTGAACATGATCGATCAACTAGGTCAATTAATTACTGATTTTCTTTCCCCCCGTTTTAATATTATTTTATTTTTCTTCGCGTTTATCTTGGACTACAAAAATCGTGCAGCCCCGCCCCTCTAAAGTAGTTCTTCTCTCCAGTGCAGGAAGGTATTCGCAGTGCGTCCATTCTTTGTAGTACGTGGTACCTACAGCACTTTGTTTAAATCCTCACCAAAAAACTGAACTACTGCCCAGCCTCACCAAGCTAGAGCAGCGCAGTACATCAACCCCCTCCTTCAATTGGATCAACCAGCAAGTACGTACCAGTGCTGCAGCAAGTTATCCGGCCATTCTCTTCTGGATACCCCCACCACCACCACCACTTAACCCAAGACTGTGTGCCCTTACATTTTCAAGTCTTATATCATCCCAAGTGAACCTACTCTTACAGCACTTTATAAAACCATATATTTTTTCCATCCGACCATCCGTTCATCTCTCACTCATCTCACTCATCCTTATATATTATAATCATTATCCCACACAGCTTATCCTCGCTTCGAGAGAGTTCTTTGTCTGCTCGCTCTCTCTCACTCACCGCATACCGCATCTATAATCTTCGTTTCGTATATAGCGTACCTGGCGACTACCGCGCACAGCCGAGGACGTTGCGTCATAGGGTCAATTGCAAGCCGGGTACGGGCTCAGCGGCACAAACTTTCATTGGGCAATGCTAACATGCCCAGCAGATCCTAATCAGATATTCCCAGCAATTTAACTTTGTCACCTGCCAGGTCCCCCCCACCATCCCATCCCATCCATACATCCCAAACTACCCAACTGCAGCCAACATGGATTCCCTTCAATCCAATTTGTTTCCGGACTTC